CCTCCTCCTCCTCCTCGGGTAATACCGAACCTGTCTTCCAGTTGCATAAGCCAAAATAATAACTACTTGCCAGCCCTGGGCTCCTGGATGTGGCCAGGGAGCAGATGCTTGAGCCTTCTGCAGGCAGCCGGCAGGCCAAGAGGGCACACTGTGCTCAGGGGTTTGTTCCCAGCAGAAGCACAAGTCATTGCTGGGTCTCACTCCCCTCCCAGGCATCCATGCCTGAAAAATAAGCCGCCGGAGGGAGACCCAGAGGTGGCTCCGGAGTGCGCTGCCTGGGGGAGGCGCAGGGTGACTGGGGTCTCTGCCTGCGCCCCGGTGTGCCCAGGAATGGAAACTGGAAGGGGAGCTCCAAAGCCAGCCAAGGCTCCCTGCCCAGAAACCATCTTACAGGCAGCTCCCTGGCTTCCAGCACCAGCTTAGCCCCAAGGGTGGCGGCATCCTGGAACGAAGGCGCAGAGCGATTCCCTCAGCCAATGGTGAAATGATTCAGCCACTGAAAGGCGAGATTCCCGGGCTCTGGCTAACAGATGGGCCTCCCTCCTTCCCTCCGTCCCTCCTTCCCTCCGGCCCTCCCTCCCTCCCGCCAGCAGCCTGCTTGCAGAGCAGCGCGGTGTCCAACCACCCAGAAGTTTACTGCCTTTCTGTGTGGCTGCGTTGGCACCCCCGCCTCTAGCACTCCCAGGTGCTCCTTTTCCATTGGCCTGGCGGTCAGGACTCAGCAAGGCCCTGGGCACCGCAGGAAAACAAGAACTGGAGCTGGGGCCTGACCCCGGGCGACACCAGGGTGGGCAACACCGCTGAGGGCCCCTCTCCCGCCCCCTGCGCCTGTGGTGTTTGCCAGAGGCGACCAGGGCCCAAGCTGGCCTTTCAGGCAGGTCTCTGGCCTGCTTTTTTTTTTGCCCAGAGTCCCGACTCCCACCAGGCCGCGGGCAACCTGTGGCCAGGGCCCGCCGAGGCCTCCGCGGCACCCAGGAGAACCCAGACGCCCGCGGCCCCACAGGAGAGGCTCAACTTCCCGAGATAAACAGGGGCGAGGGCGAGGGCCTCCTCCGCGGCACCCACCTCCATCCGAGTAGGTCTCCGTGCCGTAGCCGTCCTGCAGTCCGTTGCTCCAGGTGCCTTCGTACTTGGCCCCGTTGCCCGTGCACTCCCGCACCCCGTAGCGCCCCTTGAATCCGTGTGTCCACTCGCCCTTGTACACCCACTTCCCCTTGCTCTCCAGGCCGATGCCGTGGCGCTTGCCCTGCGCCCAGGTGCCTTGATACGTGTTGCCGCTCGGCCAGGTGTAGACGCCCAGCACCTCGAAGCCGTGGCTCCACGAGCCGGTGTATTCGCCTTGGCCCTTGGGGCCGGTGCAGACGCCATGGCCGTGCGCCTTGCCGTCCTCCCAGCCTCCGCAGTACGACCCTCCATCGTCGAAATTAAACCTGCCCCCAGTGGACATGCATGTACCGCGGTCGGCGAATCCCGCAGGCGGCGAAAAAGGACGCGGCGCCCGCGGGGCCGGAGTCGTGCTGGGCCGGCGA